TGCATTCATGTCAGAACCCCAAGGGAGGCTTGACCCTAGGATGGCAATGAAATACCCCCCTTATATAAGACATAAGCCAAAAGAAAACAAAAGTTCCAAAATATCAAAATAACTACGGTTAGCATTTGGTGTGAATCCTTCCAGACATTTTCCCCGTGTTTATATGAATTTAATAATGTATCCTGAACATCTTCTTTTCACCTAAAAAAATACAGCTGTATTCTCATTTTTCACAGCTGGATAGCATGGATGATAATAAGGAGATATAAGTAACTGAGGTTAAACAAATAACGGTATTATGAATAAAATTCCATCACAGTATCCAAGGTAATCTAAAATACCATTGTTGACTCAATCTGATGGATTTTAAAAATCCATTAACATTTGTAGTCTTCTAATAACCTCACATATTTATTATGTCATTGAATTATTTCAACAGTTGAAAATGCACATGGGCAATTGCTGAGTCAATTGTCTCCCTTCATTGAAGGCATTAAGAAATGGGCTTGGGAGGTCATCCAAAGTAGCATCCAAGGGTTGAGCAAGTTCAGACACAGTTCTGTCAAGCATCAGTGCCAGGGGATCCACTCCAGTGAGCAGAAAGTGTGCCAAGAGAGTCCAGTCAGTGGGCTATAAGATACAGTTTAACATATTGGAGGACACCTGTCCATTTTCTGCAGTGGATCTGCATAGAGAAAGCAAGATCCAGGGAGAGAGGATGCTGGAAAATATTAGGATCCACAGAAGAAAACTTCAGGTCTCCTGTCTTGGAAGGGGGCCTGAGGGACTAAGTAGGACAACCAAAGAAACTCTGACTTCCAGGTCAAGGTGCATGACTGAGCCAGCACTAAATGATGGAGGCTGCTCTGTCCTGGGGAATTCATGGAGATGCAGAACTCACCCCCAGCTCTCTTTGACTGTCGGGATAGAGACGCTTCCCTCACGATTGTCTACTTTCTGAGACAGTCCCTGTAACTAAACCCACATTCCCACCATCAGCCCAGAGCACCAAGCTTTGCCCACAAAAGTTGCAGTCTTCACTTGCTACAGCCACAATGGCCCAGGACTTACTTGTTTTCTGCCTAAATTCCAGCTGAGATTCAAGCTCGGCCCACTTAGCTGGGGCCTGACAACTTTCTACCCTTTTCTAACCTTTCTTCCGCAGGGGCTGAAAGATATTTCCCTGTACTGCCAACTGTACCCCAGCATTACCTCCTGCTTCTGTGCCCCATTTACTAAATTCAATCCCCTTAAGACCAACACAAACACAAATTCAGGTTTCATTGAATATTTTTCTTCAAACACTGATTATTGGATATTTAGCTACTTACCACAAAGCTAGTCCTACAACTCTAAAGAAATGGCCTTTATATATATTTTATGTATAAAATCTTTGTACAGATAATAGGCATTACTTGAGTGAAGCCTGCCATCTATCTACTGGTAAAATGTGGTGTCACTTTTAAGAGTTTTTGTTTTTATAACGTCATTGTGGTAGAATATATGTATAACAAAATGTTTGCCATTTTAACCATTTTTAAGTATCCAGTTCAGTGACATTCATTGCAATCACCATGCTGAAGTTCTGGAAAATTTTTGAGACAGTAACTGTGCCACTTAACACAACCTTATTAGGACTATCCAAATGCAATCAGACCACGTTAAGCAGCAGCTAACTGCATTCAATTAGAAGGACTGGCAAAGGTGAAAGGGATAAGGTAGGTGAATATTTTTACTAAACTTCTTTCTCTGCACAGTCTAAGAAAATTCAATAATTGACCTACCTTGTTTTTTTTTTTTCTTTTATTAAAATACATTGTGTAGAAACACTTGAGAAGTATCCTTATTGATAATTCTCACCTAACTAAATTTTGTGCTCCCTGGGTAATGCAACGGTTAAGCACTCAACAACAAGTGGAAAGGTTGACAGTTGGAACTCACTCAGGGGTGCCTCAGAAGAAAGGCCTGGTGATCTGCTTCTGAAAGGTCACAACCTTGAAAACCCTATGGAGGACGGTTCTACTCTGACACACGTGGGGTTGCCATGTGTCGGAATTGACTCCACAGTAACTGTTCTTTTTTTGGTTTAACTAGATTTTGTATATGTCAACAATCCATGATAGTCCACAGGCGTGTCTCTCCGTGTTGTGACACTAGTTTTGAGGTGAGTGGTGTGCCACTAATACTAAGTGATCATAGTGTGTATCTTAATTTTCTTAATATTAGAGTTTAAAAATTAGAATTGAAAGTTAACCTTTGTTATGGATTAAATTGAATCCCCCTAAAAATATGTTGAAGTCCTAACCCCGAGTAGCTGTGAATGTGGCCTTTCTGGGAAATAAGTTCTTTGAAGATATCATCAGCTAAGTTAACATGAGGTTATACTGGAGTAAGGGAGCACTGGTGGCACAGTGGTTAAAGCGCTTGGCTGCTTAACAAAAGGTTGGCAGTTCGAACCCACCAGCCACTCCATGGGAGAAAGATGTGGCAGTTTGCTTCTGTGAAGATTACAGCCTTAGAAACCTTATGGGAGAGTTTTACTTTGTCTTACAGGGTTGCTATGAGTCAGAATCGACTCGACGACAACAGGTTTGGGATTTTTTGTTGTTGTTGTTATACTGAAGTAGGGTGGGTCATAATGCAACATGAGTAATGTCCTTATTTAAAAAAGACACACACACACACACACACACACAGAGAGAGAGAGAGAGAAGACAGCGATGGGAAGACAGAGGCAGAGATTGGAATGATGCATCTACAGGCCAAAAAATGTCAAGGACTCTCAGAAGCCACAAGAAGCTAGGAAGCTGCAAGGAAAGCTCTTCCCCTAGAGCCTTCAGAGAGCGCATGGCCCTCCTGATGCCTTGATTTTGGATATATACTTCTAGAACTGTAACACAATAAATTTACATTGTTCTAATCTATCTCACTTTTGGCACTTTGTTAGGCAGCCTCACAAAACTAATACAACCATATTTTAAAAAAGAAAACACTAATCATATAACAACATCATTCTCACTTACTTGCATTTCAGTATATTCTCTTAAGTGGAAGAAGAAGGATGAGTATCACGGCTAACATGCTGGGAGTTGCATGTAACTCTGGATATTACCCCTGGGTGGCGCAAATGGTTAACATGCCAGGCTGCTAACTGAAAGGCTGGAGGCCCGAGTGCACCCAGAGTCACCTCAGAAGAAAGGCCTGGTGATCTACTTCTGAAGAATCAGCCACTGAAAATTCTATGGAGCACAGTTCTAATCCGACACACACAGGGTCACCATGAGTAGGAATTGACTTGATGGCAACTAGTTTTATTAACATAAGAGTGTATCACTGCAGGAAACATGATTAAAATTATGTCCTGATGGGTAAAAAACACAAAAAGAAACAACTTTGGCTTTTATTAGGATGGCCCAGCCCTGGAGAGATATGCATCATCTTACCATCAGGGAGCTAGGTGCATAGCCTGCACTGTCCTATAGTTAGATAGCAAATTATGTAACTCTATGTGTCACCTTTTCAGAGTTTTCTGCTGCAAAGCTCAGAGTCAAATTTTTGTTCAATCTCTAAATGGTGCATTAGGGCCTGCGGTATGCATGCTGCATCTAACCCACTCCTGGATTCATTTATCTATTCTATTCTCTTATTCCCTGTATTACATGTTGCTGCCCATTTATTTTATGGTTATCTCCCATGCATTTATTTACGCCCTCTCGACTCCTTTCTGGAAGATAGGCTAAAAACGAACATACGGGATTTGTTTGGGGGTAACATTTTTATTATTGTATTATGCTTAGTCATGTGTTTTGCACTTGGAGGTTTTTAACTTGAGATGCTGTTGAGTTTCCCTTCAAAGAATGTCCTTCTCAATCTTCCTCCCAAGAAGCTGTGCCACATGATTACATGTTGATGTGAATTTATGTATTATCTTCTCAAAGCTCTGGGAAAAGAAAGGATACACTTGATAAATTACATGCTTCGTACTAATTCTAAAGCAGTAATAATTTTCCACATTAGAGTCTTGCACACAAATACCAGACATATAATTTAACCACAGACCCCTTGTCTTTATCTAATCACTGCCCCAATTCAGTAAGTTAGCTATCAGCAAGCATTTATAAGCTACCAATTTAATGACCAAACTCTGTGACAAGGTAAAAAAAAAAAATTAACTTGTGCGTAACCACAACTCCCCCTACCCCAACACTCTCGGGGATCCAGAATTGCTGGTTAAGCCAAAGGCAAGGAAGAGAACGGAAAGGAGCTGAGAAAGCCAACTGATCTGATTGGGCCGCTACTCACCACACATCATGGAGAGGCTGGAGGGGGAAGGTAGGGGATAGGGAGAGGTGAAGCAGCTGCAGAGACCAGAGGGTCTCTGAGGACAGAGATTCCCAGTGAAGACCTTTAGGAATTAGTTGCTGCTGTTGTTCTATTTTGTCTGAGGAAAAAAAAAAAATCTTTGGTTTTCTATCTCTTCATGAAACCTTAGGAAAGGCTAGCTTTTATTTAAGGTTCTCGATGTCAGGATTAGATGTATTTTTTTCTGAATGTATCACAAGACAGGGTTAATCTGGAGTTGTTTCGGGAGGGGCTTTGAAGAATTCGTTTGCAAGAGGGTTTGGTGCCTCTCTAATGGGGCCTGCTGACTCCCCTTCTCCGAGAGCCTGACTTGCTCTCAACTCAGATGTCCTCTACCTAACAAGACCAAACAGAACTTGTGACATTGCCTTCTGGCCTATTGCTTTCTCTGGATCCACTGTCTGGGAAGTCATCTTGATCTCTTCCACTTCATCGATGGGGTGGAAGCCAATCTCAGAGGCCTGTAGATGCAGCCTTCTAAGAATTTTCTGGTCATTCTGCTTATCACTAAGTTCACCATTTCTACCTTAGTTCAGCTGCTTCCCTATTTCACTATGATGACTGCAATATCCCCTACCTGGACAGTTTGCATCTCAGCTTCCCTCTCTCCAACTCCTATATACATCTTCCCAAAACACTGCGTGCACCCCTAGGACACACATCAACTTTCTATCTCCTGCTTTTAGAGTCATCCACTCCTTTAGGACAGGGACCACGCGTAAACAGTCCCGGAACAGGATTCAGCGTATAGCAAAAGCTGAACAAATGATTCTTGAATGTCTGAAGCAGAAGCACAATATTAGCCTTCCGAATAACACAACATTTCACGCTGCTTATCACCATGCTCTGGGGGCTGTTTCTCAATGGGGCTCATCCAGGTGGAGACAGCACTCCACACATGAAGAATTTATGCAGTCATATTCAAGTTAGCAGGTAGAGCCAAACAGGTATACAACTGTGAGCATGTTCTTTCTATACTTTTGGCTATGAAAGTAAAGAAGAGAAGCAGGTTTGATGGGAAAAGTCACCCATTTTACATGCCATCTCTTACACTGCCTAGGAAAGAAGAGTTGGGGCAACTGAGCAGACTCAATGCTCTTGCATATGACACTAGCTACACTGACTCAGTACATATTTCTTTGCCAAGGACTAGAAATGATTGGCTTTTTCTCTATGGTTTCTGATAGTCTATTATATTGGAAACAAAACAACGTTGATGTTGAGTTGATTCTGACTCATGGCAACCCTATGCGTTACAGAGCAGAAAGGCCTCATAGGGTTTTCTTGGCTGTGATCTTTATAGAAGTAGACCACCAGGACTTTCTTTCACAGCACCGCTCGGTGAGTTTGAACCACAAAAAAAAAAAAAAAAAAAAAAAACCTTTAAGTTAGTAGTTGAGCGTAAACCATTTACGCCACCTAGGGTCCTTGTTATTACATTGCATTATCATATATTACCTACAGGTTGTTGGTAGAGAACCGAGTTCGGCTGATGAACTAGACTTTGGTCATTCAAAGTGGAGAAGTGGAAGAGAGTCAAGGGGCAGGATTACATGTGACTGACTGTGACACGGCAAATAACACAAATGACTTGAGACCAAGGCCTGCACACCCAGGAGTGTCTGTCTCACTAGGCCCACTGTCTCCATCCATCGGCCTGGATGCATCTGCCTTGGCCTGGCTCCATGCAACTGGAATTCCCCAGGCCCCTGGCTCAGCTTTTAGGCTGCAAGGCTGCTATGGGACAGCAGAGTGTGTCTGCAGGCAAGAAATGTTGATTCAGGAATATGGGAAAAGTTCTGGTCTTTCCAAACCAGCTTTGTCCTTGGCCCGGCCCCTGGAACAAGCAAAGAGAAGAAAATAATAAGTAAAGAAGCATCATACTTTAGTTTTCCTCAGGATTCTCAGGACAGAGCTCTCCAAACAGTTTTCTAATGCTCTCTTCTGCCATAAAGGCATTCGATGCTCCATGGACAGCGTTGTGCAAAACACTCATTCCAAAACGGGCTCGGATGGAGTCTGGGGACAGTAGTCTTGCTTCTTCTGGGTCTGTGGGTCCCATCAGTCTTCTCCATTCAGAAATAGCATTCCACTTGGTCAGGACCATGATCACAGATGGGCCTCTGCAAGGAAAGATGCTTTCAGAAGGTTTGGGCTATTTACAACAAAACGTGGCTAAAGACAGCACCACAGCTTTGCCCAGAAGTCTCCTCCGTATTCCTTACTCCTATCAGTATAATCTTCTGCTTTCTTTTCTTTTCTTTGTTTCCCAGTTCTCCCTCTTCTAACAGGTTGCTGTACTAGAAGAGTGCTACAGTTTAGGTCTACAGAGTATTTTGTCTAGGAAGCCTTATTATTTTTGCTACTTTGGGGGGAACCGTAAGTATAGACATTGTTTGTACATTGTATCCACCACTCATATCTCCCTTGAATGAAGGGCTTGGTGCCCTGGCTGTCCTTCAGCTATGAGCCTTTCTAGGCTCGTTGACAAATGGTCAGGTATTGAAAAGAAGATATAAATATATGTATATAAAGAGGCTAATATGTATATATATACATATGTATATATATATATATAAAACTAGTTGCCTTCAAGTTGAGTCCAATTCATGGCAACTCCATAGGGTTTTTAATGGCTGTGACCTTTTGGAAGCAGATTTCCAGGCCTTTCTTCTCAGGTACCTCTGGGTGGTTTCAAACCACCAACCCTTCAGTTAGTCGCTAAACAATTAACTATCTGTGCCACTCATACATACACCTTATATATAACCGCATAGAAAATTAAAAACAAAGAAAATCGATGAGGGTGTTCGAACAATTATGAGCTATATGTAAAACGGAATCCTGAGAAGCAACAGTTAAGACTACAGACTCCCTGGGCTCAGAGACCAGCCAAACACTAGCTTTGTGACTGTGGACAAATTCCATCTCTGTGCCTCTATTCCCTCATAACCAAAATAGAAATTAGAGTAAAAACTACTTCATAGAGTTATGGGGGTTAAATGAGATAAAGTGTATTTAATTCAGCATGAGGTCTGAGATTGAATACAAGTCTGGAATTGAATATAAGCACTCACTATACGGTAGCCTTTAGTTCCTATGCACGTTATAAAGGTATATCTTGTCAGGAACAGATACCCATAATGTTGAAGAAGAAAGTTCCAGAACAGCGTGTTTGGTATCACAATATTTCTTTAACTATATATGTACATATATATGTAAAATTTGGCAAGGTGTCTACACATTTAAGAGAAAAAGAGACGTGCAAAAGACAGCTAATATTCATTTAGTGCTTATTATGTGCAGGCTCTGTTCCAAGTATGTCCGATCTGTGATTTAACCCTCACAATAAACCTGTGAAGTATTAATATGTCTATTTCATAGACAGGGAAACAGGCACAGATTAAGTATGTTGGCAAAGAAGTTTTTAAATCAGATGGCCTCTATATCTAATGTGAAGATCTAAAGAAACAGAAAAAGAAAGGAAAGAAGGAAGGAAGACAGAAGGGAGTGAGAGAGGAGGGTGGTAGGCATGGGAAGGAGAAAGGAGGGAACAGGACAGGAACAGAAGGAAAAAGGGAGACAGCAAAGAAATTAACCCCAAACTTCAGCAGGGTGTCTTTTCATGGGTGAGATTATGTGAGAAAGTTTTAATTACTTTATGTATTATTTTTAAAAGTTTCCATAATAAACAGTTATTACTTTTATAATGCAAAGAACTATACATCCGAAACTTACTCAAATAACATTTCCAATACATTTTTATAAAAGTCTTTTGTTTTTATACTCATATAAATGCAGTCTGCTAACTCCTGAGTTAGGAGTGTTTCCTTCATATGTGTCACCTCAAATCCAGCCTCCTTAATAATCTTCAAGATATCATCTAGAGAAAACAGATATTTGGTAACTATGCAGATTGACTCCACTTTTGTGCTATATGCAAGTAGATTGGAATAACTAAAGAAAGTAAGAGTTTTGCCTGCATACTGTGGCTTACAAAACAAAACTATGCTAAACTAAACTAACAAAGCATAAATTAACATTCAGAACTTTAATATGTTAATGTAGATGTTCAATCTCTGAGACCCATCCTTCCAGAAATTACGTGAAACATCTAGTGGGCTATAAAAAAGCTGTATGTGTTGATGGGGGGCAGGGTAGGCGGGCTACTCCTATGCAAGGGTTGAAGGCATGTTGTCATCTCTACGCTACAAATGTCAAGGAATTTCTGCTAGATATCGATTAAAGGGGAGAACTGATCATAATTCTTCTCTCTGAGTCTAAGTAGGGCATTGTTCAGGGAATTAAATTAAGGAAACTCTGGTGTCAGAACCTCACCAACACTGAATTTCTAGGACGATGTTCTGTACATTTCTAGGATGCTCTCAAATCACAGAAGGCATAAGTCACTATTAAATTTTCAGAACACATATGTATGAGCACTCATAATATGAATTTAGAATTATGTCTGCCTTTGTGAGGCTAACATTAGCTGTAAGTCATTAGAAACCTGTTAAGTCATTAGAAAGTTATTTAGAAAATTTCTGAACTTAGAAATAGAAATATAGCAGTATGTGAAGAATATAGTAAACAACTTTGAAGTTAAGTTGACTCTGACCAGGTATGCTATAATAAAATAAGACATAACATAGTTAATATTTGTAAACTAGTCTTGAGACATAAATCTAAAATCCTCCCTTATCTCTAACCTTGAAGAAAAAAAAGTGTCATTCAGCTAATTTCTAACCTGGTGAAATGACAACATACTAGTCTTTGACATCACACTGGCCCTTATTGTGTGAAGTCAAGGTGAGAACTTCAGATATAAACCATGAATTCCTGCTCACTCACTGAGAGGAGACAGAGGCAAAGGGACCTTTCTCTAGTCCCTTACTGTCTCTGAACACCGAGAGCCTGCTGAGACTGCCTGCAGCTGCCAATCTCAGACTCTAGATACAAGGGTCCTTGGCTGAGTTCCAGCCATGGTAAAGTCTTCCTCCCAAGACCTGTTGTTAAAGGTAAACTCCTAAAGTCTAAAGTTTCGGACTCTATTTTAAAAAAAAAAGTTTTTTTTACTGTACTTTAGATGAAGGTTTACAGGACAGTTTCTCATTAAACAGTTAGTACACATATTATTTTATGACATTGGTTAACAACCCCATGACATGTCAACACTCTCCTTTCTAGACCTTGGAGGACCTTTTTTTTGGTGAAAATATACATAGCCAAAGTTACACCATTTCAAAAGTTTCTACATGTACAATTCAGTGACGTCAATTACATTCTTCCAGTAATGCTGCTATTCTCACTATCCTTTTCCAAATTATTTCATCACCGTTATCTTCAACTCACTGCCCCCTAGGCTTCCTATAAAACCTTTTGAGTTGCTGTTGTCAATTTGATCTCACATATATAATTCTTTTTTTTTTTTTTTGTACCTTAGATGAAAGTTTGAAGAATAAATAGTTTATCATTAAACATTTAGTACACATATTGCCCTATGACAATGGTTAACAACCTCACGACATGTCAACACTGTCCCTTCTCAACATTGGGTTCCTTATCACCAGCTTTCCTGTCCTCTCCTGCCTTCTAAGTCCTTGCCCATGGACTGCTGTGCCTCATTAGTCCCGTTTTGTTTTATGAGGCTGTCCAATCCCTGGCTGAATGGTGAACTTCGGGAGTGACTTCACCACTGAGCTAAAAGGGTGTCTGGGGGCCATACTCTCAGGGTTTCTCCAGTCTGTCAGGCCAGTAAATCTGGTCTGTTTTTTGTGAGCTAGAATTTTGTTCTACATCCTTCTCCAGCTCTGTCCAGGACCCTCTGTTGTGATCCCGGTCAAAGCAGTCAGTGGTGGTAGCCGGGCACCATCTAGCTGTACTGGACTCAGTCTGGTGGAGGCCGTCGTAGCTGTAGTCCATTAGTCCTTTGGACTAATCTTTTCCTTGTATCTTGTTCTCTTCATTCGCCCTTGCTCCCAGAGGGGTGAGACCAGTAGAGTACCTTAGCTGGCTGCTCACAGGCTTTTAAGACCCCAGACACTACTCGCCAAGGTAGAATGTAGAACATTGTCTTTATAAACTGTGTTATACCAATTGAGCTAGATGGTCCCCAAGACCATGGTCCCCACAGCCCTGCACCAAGCAATTCAGTCCCTCAGGGAGTTTGGATGTGTCTATGGAGCTTCCATGACCTTTCCTTGTACAAGTTGTGCTGGCTTCCCCAGTATTGTGTACTGTCTTACCCTTCACCAAAGTTACCACTTATCTATTTAGTTCCCCCCCACTCCTCCCATCCCTTGTAACCAACAAAGATTGTTTCTTTTTGTGTGTAAACTTTTAAATGAGTTTTTACAGTAGAGGTCTCATACAATATTTGTCCTTTTGTGACTGACTTATTTCACTCAGCATAATGTCCTCCAGTTTCATCCATGTTATGAGATGCTTCACTGGACTCTAACTATTGAACTACCATTGTAATTGTAATTGTTAATTCTGATTCTCCTGTTCTAAACGAACATTGTGAGGTCTTACTTGTGTGCCTTACCATGACTACCTTGCAATATACTAAATGAGTATCTCTCTGTTATGTTTACATTCTGTATACAAAGGTGAGCCAGCTTAGAGACTGGGGACTTATTGGTTAAATAGCACTTTTCTGCTCCAAAACAAAAGTACATATAAGTGACTGGGCTGGGAGCTAAAGGCCAAGGTGATCATAAGCAAAAGAAAGCCTGGAAGAGATTGGGCTTGGTCTCCTAATAAGGATCTTAGGCTGGGATCTGCCCTAAGGAAAGCATTGCCTGGATAGCTCAAGGTTCTCCAGAAAGAAAGTCACACAAAGCTACAATCTGAAGCTGAAATGAAGGCTGATTACAACAGAAAAGAAATGCAGAAAGCTGGCCATGAATAGTGGTCCAGAGCAGTCAAGAAAATGTTGGCAGTTATTAAAGTGCACTATAACACTATGATATTTAAAATGGTAAGATATGGAGGCAGTAAGAGGAATCAAGACAAACTGACTAGAATAGAAAGCACAGAAGCTGACCTAGATATGCACTACTGTTGATTGTATGAATAGGATGCCTTTCAAATCAATGGGGGAAAGAATGAATTATTTGATCAATGAGTAGAATTAATTGGTTAATTACAGAAATATTTCTCAATTAATTGAAAAAAAACGAGTTATATCAACTTCACAATTAAGCCCAAATAAATTTCATATGGATTAAAGTTATATGAAAAAAAAAGTAACATGAATTTTAAAATTAGAGAAGTGTACACACACACACACACACACACACACACACACAAATATGTGTTAAATATTGGAATGGGAAAGGTCATTCATAATCTCTAAAAAGATGCCTTGATTGATTCTTTCCCCATAAGAGTTTTTAAACCATGCTAAGAATAGTAGGGAGTCCCTGAGTGGTGCAAACAGTTAACACACTTGGCTGCTAACTGAAAGGCTAGAGGATTGAGTCTACCCAGAGGTGCTCAGAAGAAAAGCCTGGTGATCTACTTCTGAAAAATCAACCATTGAAAACCCTATGGATCACAGTTATACTCTACACACACGGGGTCTCCATGAGTCCGAATTAACTTAACAGCACGTTTTTATTTGTTTTTAAGTAATGGTGGCTGCCACAGGGACTAGAGTTCTATAAAGCATTTTGAATATCATGGACCTCAGAATCAATTTTTAACGCTTGTCATGATCATATGGCAATTATTTACTTTCCATCTCTCGTTTGAATGTGATTTCCTGTATAACTTGCTGTGTTCATCTTTGCATTCACCCCACCTACCAGATGCCCAGGACATGAAGATGCTCAACTAGTGGTTGGTGAACTAGACACTAGGAAAACCAATGTGAATAGGACATAAACCCTCCCTCCAGATATAGACTGGTGAGAAGGTCAGGCCTACAAATGCATCATGAGAACACTGTGATCCTTATTACCACTTATGTACAAAACTTTTGTGACCATAGGGGAGGGAACTGTTAGCTCTCTTCGGGGAGGTCAGGGATGACTTCTCAGAGAAGCTGAACTTTGTGTTGAGTAAAAAACAAAGAGTGATCACCAAGCCAACAAGAAGAGAAAGGTAGGTCATTCCAGGCAAAATGAGCAACATACTCAAAGCTCAAAGGTGAGAAAAAAGTGGCAGAGGTAGAAACATATTAGAGTAGTAAGATGGTGAAGTAACAGAGGAAGGGTTATAAAGGGCTATGCCTGGTGAGAAAACTCGGACTTCACCTCGAAGGCATCAAGGAATACTTAAAGCATTCTAAGTAAGAACATATTCAGATTTGCACTCCAGAAATATAATTTCCTTTGCAGAATGAAGAATAAATTAGGGTGGTGGAGAGTGGACATGGCATCATAAATAGACCAGAGGCAAGGTGACTTTTTTGAAAATTAATGTACAAGTCCAGGTGAGTAGTATAGAGGCCTAAAGGAATATAATAGCAATGGGGAAGGACTCACTGGTGATACACTCAGGGATTTTTTTATGACATTAGATAGATAGAACTTAATATTTGTTTGCATAAAGCCTAATTCAAATGTACCTCAGTTCATCATTATTTTTAGGGAGAAGGTATTTTATCATGGATATCAAGTATATGGATTTTGTTAAGACCACTAACATTACTAAATTATTTTAGGTGATAAAGGATTTACATATTTCAGAAGTTTAATTACCTTATTAAAGTTATGAACTTGAATAAAAGTTGGTGGGTAGGATAATGGTGGCTACCTAAATGAATCCATCTTTACATCTTCCAACAATAATTCATCTCAATATGGAATCCACACCTATAGCATAGCTGTTGTTGTTGTTAGGTGCTGTTGAGTAATTTTAAACTCATAATGACCC